CAGTAAGTGGAGGTCCTGGGAAAGTGGCCTGGGAATTTGCAGAGTTTAGTTGAGGGTAAAATAAGAAGTGTTTCTTAGTGATTGAAAATGCAGGGCTTCGGAGGTGGAGAGAAACGGACATGGATCCCAGACTCAATACACACCAGCTGGGAGACCTTGAAAAAGTTATTTAAAAGTTATTTGCTTATCCATAAAATGGGGTTAGCATCTACTTCTTAAGTCTCTTGTGGGAAATGGATTAAATAAGAGAACGCATATGAAGTGTTTAGCACAGCATCAGCCATGCAGTGTTCAATGAACAGCGGCTTTAATGAGGACTCACGAGGGGGCCTCGGACAAATTTATCCCAGATTACTTCTCGCCCGCAGTTCCCTCGGCTTACTTAGTTCAGAGGCTTTCTTGTTGGAGTTGGGACCTGTTAACACAATCACAAGGCCTTGCATGTGAGCAGCATTTTACTTTAAAATAAACAACATTGGAGCAATTACAATGGCAACCCTTTGGCCCACATGCTCTCTGCTTGTTAAACTTGCAAGAGGGGAAACTAACATGTAGAAATTCAATTCAGTTCTTTGAAGAAGCATGTTTGCTACCAACCACAATGACCACCACGCACACGATGGATCTCACTGTACTAGTAAGATAGTAAATTATTTCTAAACAGGCACTTGGAAGGGACCAGAATGGCAACATTCTTACGCTCAGAGTGTATTAACAAGGGAGTAACCTGGTTCTCATTAAATCTAGACATAGGAGAACCAAGCACAGAGCAATAGGTGACCTTCCCCAGCAAGGACCTGGAGAAAACAGAACAAAGACTGAATTAAAGAGTGAGAGGTCGGGGATATGGCATTGGAACTGGACTCTTGGGAGGCTAGTGAGGAGTACCAGCCGCACTGTGCTCTTGTGAGACACTGCACTCCCACCAAGCACCGGCGGTCTCTCCGGGGCAGGCGCGGCTCTGTGCCGCAGGTAAACAAGCCACACAACGAGCAAGGCCTGGCTTCCTGGCATATCGCCTGCACACACTGATGAGAAATTTAAGTCAGTGCACTTTGAAACAAAGCCTAGGCACTAAAATGAAAGCCACGGGGCGGCAGGAAACCTGGGGTGTCTGGTTTCCCAGCATATTCCCCTCCCACCTTGGAGGGAGCTCCTCACCCTATAGATACTCAATAAAATGCATGTAGACAGAATAAGTGGACTAATCAATACATTATGAAACTGTCAAAAACCCCTCACGATTACTCAAGGCAAGTCCATACTTGAGACAGGCAGACTGGGCTACCACTCAGAGTCCTCGGAGTTTGCCTTTACCTTCCTTTGCCTGTCACAGACCGCATTAGCCTCTCACTCCTCTAGTAAGATTAGACAGTGCTTACTATGTTTCTGGCACTGTTCTCAATGCTTACCATTAAAATGTTATGAGATCAGTATTATTATTATTACTTCCATTTTACAGATGAGAAAGTTGAGCAGACACCCTGCCCTCGTTCCCACAGCTAGTCCATAACAGCCACGATTTGAATGCAGCCAGTGTGGCTGCGTGCAAAATTGTATTTTTAACTGCTATGATATTATATGGCTTCACTTTAAGGAAGAATATGAGACGTTCCAAGCTTGAGATTAGGCTCCATTTTACCAGCTGATTAACAATTACTAGTTAATAAAAACTGATAATTTCATCTTTTACCATCCTTAGAGGTGCTAGTACTATCCCCACTTTATGGATGAGTCACAAGATCAGAGAGGGTAAGTGGATTGTCTAAGATCACACAGCTCAGTAAGCAGCCGTGCTGAGACTTGAACAACAATTTTCTGTCCCCAGGGCCCTTGTTATTAATCACTATTATCACCTAGATATTGCTTAGATAAAAATAAAATCACCTAAATTTAAAATAAGTGCTGTGGCTTTTATTCAATCCTCTCCCCATGCCTTTGTGAACATTAGAAAGAGGAGGCCTTCTTCTGTAGACATGCCCATACGGCAGTGCAGCTCTTAGTGAGCCACGGGCTGGGTCAGGCCTTTCTCATTCCTCAGCCATCCCCTTGTGCAGTGGAATCCCTGCACAGGCACATGTGGCAGCCACACATTCAGCAATGTGAAGGACAGAGGGAAGGGACCCGTCATGATTCAGAAATTCTCCTTACAGAGGTCTTTAACTGGCACTTTGGCAACATCCAAGCCAAGGACTTTCTCATTACTCCCTATCAATCCTTGAGTGTTGGCGTTGGAGTTCTTTTCCCTGCCCTGTGACTGCCCCACGGGGACTTCCTCATGTCTGTGGAGACCAAGGTCATGGCCCCTAAGGAGATGTCCACACTGAGACGGGTCCTGGCCTACGGTGCCCAGAAGCCTCTCTCTGAGTGTGGAAGGACTCCCAAAAGGGGGACTTTAATTTTTAAAACACTTGGATCCCACCAACATCAGACAGTCATAGATGCATCCAAACTCTTGCTCAGCTCTTCAAACAGCTCCGGTGGTTTCACCCCCAAACGGCATCTTTCAGCCTCTCATTCACCAGTTCTCATCCTTGGCAACGAGCTTTTCCCACTTCCTCTGGTTCACACTCGGCCTAGATCAGGCTACAGAACACTCCCAACAAGATCTTTATTGTTTACCTTGTACCTTTTAATCCACAGGGAGTACTTGAGATCCAGTTTCATCTAGGAATTTATCTCTGATACTTAAAAGAGGGCCCACCAATGCTATGATGTTTGGTTCATCTCAGGATAGAAGGAAAAACCATAAGTCTATAGTAGATGTCAACCTTCTCATGATTGAAGGCTGGAAACTGACATTAAAAACTTGTGGAACTTAACTAAAGTATTAGAAAATTTCAGGAAAAATACTAGTAAGAGCAGCTATGACTTATTGCTACGAGCTTGGCTAAGCACTTACAAAATAATTTTATTTTATCTTCTACAGTCCTTAGAGGTGACAGTACTATCCTCTGTGGATGAGAATGAGAAGATCGGAATAGGGAAGCGGGTTGCTCGAGATCACACAGCTCAGTCAACAGACTGAGATGCGAACAAAGGTTGGCTACCTCAGAGCTCTTAATCGTCATCCCTATGCTACAAAATTGTAACCTTTATTGTCTCCTTAGTTCATTGTGTCTGCCAATTAATGGATATTCCCATGATAGGCATGGGGAGAGAAGAGGGCATGTCCCCTGCCTGCTCCTGGCTGGTCCTGCAGCAGCTGGACACCAGAACTGCCAGGTCACCTCTGGGTACTCTCAAGGCCAGTGAACTGGGAATCCTGAGGACACCAATATTTAGTTGCTATAACAACCAGATTTCCCTGAGGTGTACACTAGGACACACTGACCACCCTTTGGAGGTCTGTGACAGATGAACCCCTGCAGACACTGGCAGCATCTGCCCTTTGGCAAAGCTTTTGAGAGGGAGATCTGGAAGGTACCCTACTCCTCCTTGGACCCGGGACCCTTGAGCACATAGCTGGGCATGAGGTCTGCTGGAGGATGGGGCTCCACAAACGCCCTTCATGCCACCATATTTGCCCAGCACTTTAATGCCTCCAATGCCTTCACACTAACTTCTCACTGAAACTCACAGCATCCGGTTTAATAGGTAGGCACGTGATATTTGTACTTTATGGCTGGGATCCTGAGGACCAGCGCTTACACAGCCTCCTCAAGGTCAACAGCTCATGGTGACAGAGCAGGCTAGACGCAGGATACCTGCTTCCCAGACATAACACTGGGCTTCCCAATGCAATGTCTCAGCACCCCACGTCTGCAGAGAAGGGAGAATACGGATTTTCTGTTGATGAGAGATTGAGATGCTCTATCTGTTGTTTTGGACAAGAAAACCAGAGATGCCAAATATGGTGCTAGTAACTGGCCACCACCTCCTGACCCCTAACCCGGGAAATGTGTGTGATGGGCAATGGAGACCAAACGCAAATGTTGGCTGGGCCTCGCTTCCACTGCACCTGCTTTCTGCTCAGCACTGTGTCCATGAAAGGCTATTCCTGAAAAACGCCGGGAATTCTATCTCATTGCTCAGAGAATGAGCTTCCTACTCTCAGAGGCTTGGGTCCATAACAGGCTATGAGCATAGACTGTTCTGGGGTGTGGTGGAGAAGGGGTGGCATTGACCTCCAGCCTGTATGAGATGCACCCCAATATCTGGGTGCAACCACGTTGGTCTCTGTGTCCCGAGTGGGTATCAACTTCTGAAACTATCCTTTCACAGATAAGCTTTTTATTCTCTCTATAAAAGTAATTTAAGTACATTATAGAAAAAATAGAAAACTGAAAGGAAAAATCAGTAACACCCAAAGGCAATCATCAACACTTCAATTTTTCTTGCATCACGCGGCTTCACAAATGCACACCCGCCATGGTCGGTACCGGTACAAATACTTGATCTGTAATGAGGATGCCTTATGTGTTTGTGTGTCTGTATCCATTCGATGTCTTGAATCTCTCCCATATAAGTAAAACTTCTTCAAAAATATTTAAAAATGGTTGTATACAAATTCCTTGAAAAATTGTGCCTAATTTAACTACCCTATTGTTAAATATTTAGCCGTTGATTCCATGTAAGGATCATGCCGGGCTATAACATCGGTGTGTAAAGATCTAACTAAATTTCTCCCGATTTCCTTAGGATGGATTCCTAGAAGTTAAATGATCAGGTCCAGGGGTTTGCACCTTTTACTGCTCGAGAAAGCCAAAGCTGCACTAAGAGTTCTGACCTCCCCTGAGGTCCCCCCATGAACCGTTTTCTTGCTTTCCAGTGCCCCAAATCTCACGCAGGACTGGGGGCTCCATTGATGTAAGCTAGGGGCTCCCACTGTTGCCCTGATGGGGTGCAACACTACTCCACTACTCAGATGCCACAGAAACACACTTAAAGTCACACAGCCCTGGCCTGGTGAAGCCCAGGAATAATGAGCTCAGCGGGAAGCAAACGGTCATTGACAACCACCGCTCTTCATGCAGGACGGGCACTTGAGGGGTACTCACCTGATAAGTAGCAATCGCTTCTCTGTCCAAGGTCCGTGTCACGGAGACACTGCCCGTGTTCTCATTGATTCTGAAAATCCCTTTAGGCTCTTGATCCACTCCCTTTCCAGTGAGCCGGAACTTGGACCCTTCCGGTCTGTCACTATCGACTACCTGGTCAGGGAGACAGAGTGACATTTAAGACTCTGGCGCAGAGAGAGCACATTACAAACACACCTCAGTGACCCAGCCACTAATCACAGGTGCAACACAGAGGTGCCTGGTGAACAACGGAGTAAAGCAGCATCACCAAAAATAGCATCACTGCTTAACACTTCCCAACCTGACATGCAAATCTTTGCGGTGACACAGAGTGATGGATCTAGGAGGGAAATAACTCCAGCAAGTTTAAGGCTGGACATTTATATTTTTTTTAACTCCCAAGAAACATTTCTTTTTCTGCAAGCAAGACCAAATAGGTGATGGGAAAAACAACGACAAGAGACGACATTTGTCCAACAACATTGTCCTGGGCAGGCAATGATCGAGGTGCTAGGTATTTACATATGTCTTTAGCTGCCCCATTGGTTCTACCAGATACTAGGCATAGTGCTGAGCAAGCATTTTACACACATTTTAAAAAACCTCACAACGATGCTGGGGTCAGGGACATTATTATTCGCACTTAATGGATGGAACCACGGAGACACAGAAATTAAATAAGCTGGCCGTGGTTACGGCTATCCTATCTAATAAAAGAGTAATATGCAAATTGACCATCACTCCAACACACAAGGTGGCCAGCAGGGGAGGGCAGTTGTGGGTGATCAGGCCAGCATAGGAGGGCAGTTGGGAGGGACCAGGCCTGCAAGGGAGGGCAGTTTGGGGGGACCAGGCCTGCAGGGGAGGGCAGTTGGGGGGACCAGGCCTGCCAGGGGAGGGCAGTTAGGGGTGACCAGGCTGGCAGGGGAAGGCAGTTAGGGGAAATCAGGCCAGCAGGGGAGCAGTTTGGCATCAATCAGGCTGGCAGGGGAGTGGTTAGGGGGTGATCAGGCTGGCAGGCAGAAGCTGTTAGGGGCAATCAGGCAGGCAGGCGAGTGGTTGGGAGTCAGCAGTCCTAAACTGGCAGTCACACATCCCTCAAGGGGTCCCAGATTGGAGAGGGTGCAGGCTGGGCTGAGGGACACACCCCCCCCCCCCCACCCCGTGCATGAATTTTGTGCACCAGGCCTCTAGTTAGAGATAAAGGTGGGATTCAGAACCCGGTCTCCATGTCTCTAGAAACATTGCTATGAAACACTGTCATCTCTGAACTTATTTTAAGATACTTCCCTACAGGTTGTTAGCCTGGCTTTGATACTTGAAGAATAAATTCAGAAGATAAAGATGGAAGAAGGTATTTCCAGGCAGAGAGGACAGGACAGATAGAGCAGCAGGCAGGTGAGAGAGAGGCTAGAAAATCTCAGAAACTATGTCACTACATAGTGTGGTGTGAGTAGAGGTGAGGTTGAGAGGTAATTAGGAACCAAATTATATATTGTTTTCTTTATGGCATTTGAAGGTGCCCAACTAAAGAGAAATTATTATTTGCAAAAATCAGTTCTAGAGTTTTCCCAAGTATTCATCTCTGTTTCATGTCACTTTGTCATCAATATCTTCAAGTATAACAATAATTTAAGTCAGGAGAACAATAGACATTTGGAACATATAAAAGAAAGCTTGATACTGATCCAGGTGCAATCAACTTACAAATGAACAGGCACCTATTGGAACTTAGTCAACTGTGCCTGGAGGGTTTGGGTGAAATCTGCCTGAAATGTGCCTTATATGGAATTAGCCTCCCTCCCACCAGGCCAGTTCTGTTGCCACCAAGCCTGCAATTCCACTGGGTGGCACGAGGTGGCAGTGGTGCCTAAGGCAGTGTGACCCTCATGGCAAAGTTCCTCTGCCATGATAGTTGAGTAAAAGCATGACCCAGTTCTATCTATATGGCAATGGGGTGTTTTCCTGATTTAAAGTATTCTTTATTAAAATACACTGGGAGTTTTGATCTAACACCAATGACCTCTGTTTGCATTTTAAGATAACAGAAAATATCCGAACCAAGATTAAAAGTAAAGTATGATGGAAATAATTCTGATGAAAAGAATTATATCAGTCATTGCTTGGCTTGATTTAATCCAGCTGACATTCTCCCCCTAACCCACTCCCTGCTGCTTAGACGCTCCATGGGGTCAACAGTCACACCATATTGGGCTCACCACTGGATCTCAGGGCCTGGCTCAGTGCCTGGACTATAGCAGGAACCAAGGCCAACATCTGTTTAATGAAGAGCACCACTGTTCAGACAAACACATGTCCCAGTCCTAGGATCCACCATGTGCCCTTGGACATCGTACTTTGTCTTTTGATTTCCTCATCTTATTCCCCGGGTTGATGGGGATTTAATGAGATAGTGTGTGCAAAGTACAGATCTAAGCATGTGAAAGGGGTTCTATAAATAGTAGCCAATGACTGCAATACTGATAGTAACAATCATAAAATTATGCCAGTGTTAGTAACGGGTAAGATCACACCTCTAGGCATAAAAAGCATCTTAGCCATAATATTTTATGAAAATCCCTAAGGGAACAAATTTCCTCTCCACAAATCTCTCTGACTTGGAAAAAAGAAGGAGCAGCTGAGCAAACACACTCTTCTTTGTCACCCATATTTACTGTCGCTCCCCTCCCCGTCTTACCACTCAGTCCAAATGTGGTTAAAACCTTTGCCTCTTGCCGAAACCGGTTTGGCTCAGTGGATAGAGCGTCGGCCTGTGGACTGAAGGGTCCCGGGTTCGATTCCGATCAAGGGCATGTACCTGGGTTGCGGGCACATCCCCAGTGGGGGATGTGCAGGAGGCGGCTGATCGATGTTTCTCTCTCATCGATGTTTCTGACTCTCTGTCTCTCTCCCTTAAGGCCGGACCTCTCCCAAAGGCCGCATTGCCCAGGACAACCTAATGGGAAATAAACACGGGACACCTGCAAGCTCTGGAGCTGCCCTGCTTCCCATGAATGGACCCCTGGCCCCACGTATCCACTAGGTATGGCCCATGGTGAGCTCCTGCCAGGGGCAGCCTGCTGACTCTGTTCTCCTTTCCTGTCCCTCCCCTGCTCTGCAAAGGTTGGAGGACAGCATCCCACACCTTTTGGTAGAAATAAGGTGGAGATGGTCCTGAAAGCTCTCTTGGGGCAAATATTGCCGCCCTCCCATTTCTCCACCTGCCACTCAGCACAGAGCTGAGTTCTCCACTCAGAAATTCTCTCGGGGCAGCTTTTCTCCTGCTGTCAGGTCCGGGTTATTTCCTTGCTCACAGAGGGCTTGGCCCACTTGACCTTCCAGAAGTAGGGTCTTGCAGAGAGGATTTTGTTTAATAAGCACTGGCTGCTTGATTTAAATGACGTATTCCCCGGGAAAGGAGCAAGTCCCCACTGTAAGCACCTCTGCTAGGCACTATGCATCTTCTCTCTCAATAATTTTGTTTTTAAAGGCTTGGATTTTAACACATCTGTTGAACCACCTGGTCCTCAGAGCTGTGTCCACAGCCACACCAGGTACAGTGCCCAGACTGACTGGGCCATAAGCGTCCCCCAGCACAGGGAAGTGAGGGCCCCATTCTCCCTAGAACAATGCCTCAGATGTGCTTCCCTAGACCAGAATGGGCATCAACTGGGAACTTGATAGAAATGCAGATTCTCAGGCTCTGCCCAGACCTAAATCAAAACCCCAGGGGCGGGGCCTGGCAATCTATGTTGAACCAGCCTTCTGGGCGATTCTGAGGCACACCCGGGTCTGAGGACCACTGATTTAGACAGATTTTATCACTATCCACATTCATAACTGCTGATTTCCACTGCTACCATTTGGATCCTTCTGCTGAAAGAAGGCTGTGTCTGTTTGCTATCTTCTTCCTAGACCTACTTTAAACATCTAACACTAGTAGCAATTCTTTTAAAAACCTGTTTTCTAGAATATCAGCAAAGCGGAGCTGGTACTTCTCCAAGTCCAACATCTCTACGTGTCAAAGGCATCCCAGGAATTGAAGGAACCTTGGAGAAGAAAGCATGGGAGTGGGCGTCACTCCTCAGGGAGAAGATTCTGGAATCACCCCCCACCTCTCCGGCTTCCTGGTTCCTAGGTGGGGCTTGAGAGGGACCCCAGCCCACTTCAGCTCACTTAGCTGGGAGATAGGAGGTGTGCAGTAGCTGGGAGATAGGAGGTGTGCAGTGGCCACAAACCCAAAGAGGTGCTTAGCCACACATGGACGCTATGCCGTGCAAGTCAAGTGGGTTTCCAGACAATCCTTATTACACTATGATAAACTCCTGAGAACTGTCCAGGTGCTACTCACAGCTATGCCCCAGGGCTGTGGTCCTTTTGTTATTGTTGAATGTGACAAAATGTAAGAGATCCAGTGCACTCCTGGCCAGAATGAATCCTATAGCTGCTGTTAACACCCATTATACCACCTAGCAGGGCTCCACAATTAGTTGGGCTTTCCTATTATTCTTTGTAATTCAACATTTCTTTTCACAGTGGGATTTTTTCCCTTTATCCTCTGAGTTGGAATGGAAAAAATAGCTAATAATGAGAAAAAACTTGGACCATGGGCACGTAAATAGCACACAGGAGTCTTGCTGCATACCTGGGTAAAGTGACTCCTAGATACCCTTGGGGAGGCCAGCAGACCAGCTGTGTCCATGGCATGGCCCAGCTGGGACCAGAGTCCTGTGCACTGAGCGAGGAGTGCGAAGTACTGAGGCCTGGATCAGTAGCTGTGTGATTTGAGTTTCAAAGGACATTCTCGCTGCATACTTCTTATAGAATGCGGTGTATTATGGACGAAGCCAAGGCCCCCTTGAGTCTCCTCATTAAGTCCTCATTAAATCCTATTCCCAGCTGCAAGTAACCACTGATACCAGGTTATAGATGTTGTTAAGGTATTCTATGAATTTACATATATACATATGTACTCATAGAATATGTAGCAATTTTAAATATTTTCACATAAATAGGATCATTCTGTATAAATTATTCTATAACTAGAGGCTTGGTGCACGAGATTCATGCACTGGGGGGGGGGGGGGTGGCCCTCAGTCACACATCCCTCTTGCAGTCTGGGGCTCTTGCAG